GAAGGCACCTTGGAAAAGATACATCTTCACATTGTACAAAACGATTATTCTATAACACATCTTGCTGGCCATTTTGGTTTTTGGTTCTTTAGCCCAGGCTGATCTTGAACTCTCTATGTAGTTGAGGATCTTGAATCTTTGATCCTCCTGTATCCACCTCCGAAGAGCTAGGATTACAGGTGTGCATCACTGTGCGCAGTGGGGCAGCTGATAATTTTATAGGCTATTTCAGTTTAGGCCTGCAAGGTGCCTTCTACTAATTCATTTCTCCCCACTTATTCATATGCCCCAGTGTTCATCCTTCCCACAGTGTCTTAGTCAGGGTTTCTACTGCTGTGATGAAACACCATGACCAAAAAGCAAGTTAGGGAGGAAAGGGTTTGTTTGGCTTACTCTTCCATCATTGGAGGTAGTCAGAACAGTAACTCAAGCAGGGCTTGAACTTAGAGGCGGCAGCTAATGGAGAGGCTATGGAGGGGAGTTGCTTCCTGGCTTGCCTGCTCTGGCTTGGATCATCCTACTTTCTTATAGATCCAAGAAGTCTCTTTTTTTTTTTTTTTTGGTTTTTCCTAGACAGGGTTTCTCTGTATTGTTTTGGCAACTATTGGTCCAGCCCGGCCTCGAACTCACAGAGATCCGCCTGCCTCTGCCTCCCGAGTGCTGGGATTATAGGCGTGCGCCACCACCTCCCAGCCAAGAAGTCTCATTTATCTATCAGTGAATAGCACTTACCCAAGACTCATTACTGGTCAAAATGCTGACAATAAATTACTTTTGAATGCTCAGCCCTAAATGGGACCTCTATACACCCCTCCAAAGTTCAAAAAATATTGCAGAAAGGGCAAAAGGAGTGTAAGAATAAGAGGATAGAGAGGAATGCTGCAGAAAGCTGTTTTCTGGACATGATGTGACTACTGTGCACACAGACTCATAGTGGTTGGATCACCTGCACACAGTTGGGCCCACCAACATTCCATCACGAATGGGCCAGGGAATTGTCAATTCCCACTGCTCCCTGAGGGACTATTGGTACTTAATGGAGGGAGAGAGAGAGAAGGGACTGTTTTTCAATGGTGTAGCCACTGGTAAACTACTCATGTTTTGATAAATAACCCCCTTTGTGGAAGAACTTTCTTCCAGTGGTGGTGGGGTCACCAGGCAACCTCTAACCCTATTCAGATCCCAATTTCAAACCGAAGCTGGATTCCACCAAAATTCACCATGGAGAATCAGTGAGTTTATTAGGCTTGCTTACAGAGCTTGGGTAAGAAGTTAGAGGCAAGAGTGAGGGTGATCCTAAAACAGCCATTCAGGAAGGTCTGCACCCAGCATGGAAGATGCTTTCCCCATGGCTGCACAGATGGAACTCCTTTTCCCCAGTCCTCCCCAGTCTATATACTTTACCCCACCCTAGATCTCAAAGCCAGTCCAATCAGGGAAGAACTGCTTCTAACTTGCTGAGGAATGTCTGAATAGGCAGGTATCCAGGCCTCCTTGTCTGTAAGAAAAGTCAACAACAGTCAGCAAGCCTAGCCATGATCTTTTGCAAGCAGACACAGATGGTTTTATGAAGATGACACTTGGTTTACACCTAGGACAAGACTGTACAAAAACTTAATTTTTTGTTGTTGTTGTTGTTTGTTTTGAATTCAGAGATCCTCCTGCCTCTGCCTCTTGAGGTTAAAAATGGGATTAAGCTGGGAGGCAGAGGCAGGAGGATCTCTGTGAGTTCGAAGCCAGTCTGGTCTACAAATAGAGTTCTAGGACAGTCAGAGTTTCACAGAGAAACCCTGTCTCGAAAAAAACCAAACAAACAAAAAATGGGATTAAATTTTGTGTCACCAAGTCTGGCTAATGCATTTTTTTTCTTTTTAAAGAAACAGCATCGCTGCCAGGCTCATGTCTGTATTCTCATCATCAGGATGCTGAGGCAGGAGAATCTTGAGTTGAAGGCCACCTAGGGATACATAATGAGTCCTATCTCTTTTAAACAGTGTTCATTATTATGATAGTTATGTGTGTGAATGATGTGTTTGTATGAGTACATGTCTGATGGCAAAATGTGGAGGTCAGAAGACTCTACTGGGTCAGTTCTCTTCTATCTCTACAAGGGTGCCAGGGGTTGAACTGATGTCATCAAGCTTGTATAGTGGGCACTTTAACTACTGAGCCAATGTCATCAGCCTGCGATATCATCTCTTAAAAGCAAAAAATACCAAGCCAGGTAGTGGTGATGCTGGGACTAAAGTCGTGCACCACCAATGCCCAGCTTCCCTGGAAGATTCTTTTTTTTTTTTGGTTTTTTGAGACAGGGTTTCTCTGTGGCTTTGGAGGCTGTCCTGGAACTAGCTCTGTAGACCAGGCTGGTCTTGAACTCACAGAGATCCGCCTGCCTCTGCCTCCCAAGTGCTGGGATTAAAGGCATGCGCCACCAACGCCCGGCCCCTGGAAGATTCTTTAAATATGAAATGCACAAGGGCTGGAGCGTGCACTGCTTTTGCAGGGGACCTGCAGTTCCCAGCACCCACACAAGGAACTCACAGCTGCTTGTAACTGCAGCTCTAAGGTGATCTCATACTTCCAGTCTTGTGTGTGTGTGTGTGTGTGTGTGTGTACTACACCGGTAGTTAAAAATAATAAAAGTAAGATTAAAGATTATGTACAGACTACATGACCTGGTCATCCTAGTAATGTCTCTGGGATGAGTGAAATTTGTGCTGTACTAGGTCTTTCTCCGAAGGGAGTTCCTGGTTTGGAATGGCAGTCATTGTGGAGAGTCTTTAGAGCAAAACACTTAGCTTTGGCAGCCCCAAAGGTCTTGGCCACCCTTGCAGATATGGCAATGACAGATGAATAGTGATTAAAAAAATCAGAAAGGGGAAGATTAATTTAATCTGTCCACAATGGGAGGAATAGAGAAAGAGGTTCAGTGATTCCACGGCCACCTTCCCGGTATTGATATGAACATTAGGTGTAAGGGAGGATGAATGGGTCAAGGGAAGAGGTGATCATAGCTAAACAGTCCTTTCAGGGTGTGGTCTGATTGATCAGTCTCATCACGCCAGGTCTTGGTGGCGCATGCCTTTATTCCCAGCACTCGGGAGGCAGAGGCAGGCGGATCTCTGTGAGTTCGAGACCAGCCTGGACTACAGAGTGAGACAGCCTCCAAAACAATACAGAGAAACCCTGTTTTGAAAAACAAAAAAACAAAACAACAAATAAAAAATCAAGTCTCTTCACTTGAGGGGAACAGTCTAGGACTCACGTGTCTCTGCTCCAGGGAGTGGCCTCACAGGCAGGGTTAGAGCGATGATTTATCTTTCTACCTCCAACTTGCCTGTGTGAGTAAAGAGCCGATGCCTTTTTCAGTAAAAGTGGCTGCTGCCGCTTCTCTTTTTCTTCTTTTTTGTTTTTTGTTTTGTGTCTGGCCCGAGATTGATGTCAACCCTTCTGCTTCAGTCCCATGTGTGTACAAGTGTGTGTGCCTGTGTTTGCGGAGGTCAGAACTTGACATCTTATAAGTGTCTAGTGTCCTCCTCAGTCACTCTCCACCTTATTTTGTGTGTATGTGTACATGTATGTGTGCATGTGTGTGAGATGTGTGTGGTATATGCACATGTGTGGACAGGTGTCTCTGTGCGTGGAGGCCAGAAGGCACCAGCTATCTTCTCTATTACTTTCTACCGTAGTTCCTGGAGGCAGGATATCCCTCCCTCCCTCCCTCCCTCCCTCCCTCCCTCCCTCCCTCCCTCCCTCCCTCCCTCCCTTCCCCTCTCTCTTTCTTTTCTCTCTCTCTCTCTCTCTCTCTCTCTCTCTCTCTCTCTCTCTCTCTCTCTCTCTCTCCTCCCTCCCCCTTCTTCTTTTGAGACAGGGTTTCTCTGTGTAGTCCTGGCTGTCCTGGAACTAGCTCTGTAGACCAGACTGGCCTTGAACTCACAGAGATCCACCTGCCTCTGCCTCCCAAGTGCTGGGTTAAGGTGTGTTGTGCTACTGCCTGGGTAAACTTGGTCTTTATGCTTGCACAACAGTTGCTCTTAACTACTGAGCCATTTCCCCATCTTATTTTTTGTTAAAATTTAAACATTAAATTTTTATTTTATGTGTGAGTGTTTGCCTGCTTATATATCTGTGTACTATGCATATGCCTGGTGTTGGAGTAGGCTAGTAGACAGAATTCAATCCCCTGGAACTGGAGTGACACATGGTTTGTGAGCTGCCACGTGGGTGCTAGGACCTGAACCTAGGTCCTCAGGAAGAGAAGACAGTGTTCTTAACCTGTGAGTCATCTGTCTAGTTCTCCACCTTATTTTTTGAGACAGTGTTTCACTGAACTTGGAGCTCCCAATCCAATTAGGTTGGCTAGTTGGCATGTCATAGAGACCCTCCTGCCTTTAGTGCTGGGATTGTAGGTACACACTCAACGTGTGTTCCAGATGGATGCTAGAATCTGAACTCAGGGCCTCATAATTCCAGGGTAGTCACTTTACTGACTGAACCATCTTCCCAGCCTCCACTTGCTGCTTTTAAACAGTCCCTTCACGCAGGGCGTTGGTGGCGCACGCCTTTAATCCCTGCACTCGGGAGGCAGAGGCAGGCGGATCTCTGTGAGTTCGAGACCAGCCTGGACTACCAAGCGAGTTCCAGGACAGCCTCCAAAGCCACAGAGAAACCCTGTCTCGAAAAACCAAAACAAAAAACAAAACAAAACAAACAAACAAACAAACAAAAAAACCCAGTCCCTTCACTTGGTCCAAGCAGGAATGGGCACATTCTCCATGCAGTGGTTCTACTTGGGCACACAAGCCATGGAAGCCATAAATATTTTTCTTAGCATTGGCACACACAGGAACACCTGCTCCTCAGAAAGCCAGCCTTGGGCCTGACTGAGAACACCAAAGACAGATGAATGCTTACCATGAATCCCTAAATAGAAAGGCTGACACTTGCGGGTACTTCCTCTGAGAATGTTAGCTGGCCAAAGGCAATTTCTAATTCTTGCATTAGATGGAAGTGAGTTTATTATTTGAATGCATTTTCCTTACAAAAGCATTCAGTTCTTACAAGAAAATGAGACTATAGTTTGGAGAGAGGACCGTATCACATTCCTTTTCCCAAAGCCAGCTGCACAAAGCCTCCTATCATGTGCTGGGAATTTTGCCATGGGGGATGACTCAATAGATTGTACACCTGGAAAAAGAGTTCAGTTTTTAGCTTTTGTCAAAAGTGCTTATGAAACCATACTTATCTATGGAGCCCACGAATGTAAAAATTGGTTCATACTTTCTCCTAGTTCTTACCCGGATGCACCTTATCGGATCCCATCTGGCCCAGTGTACTGCTCGGCACCCCTGACTGTGACCCTCTAATGACAAGGGCATTGGATGGCAAACTGGCGATCAGCATTGGATATCAAATTTAAAAACTTGTGTAGAGCAGGTGGGGTCAGTCAGCTTGAGATGCCTAAGTTCCTGTTTCAAAAGAACATCAAACAACAATTCAAAGGACAACAAAATCTGTGCCCCTCGCACTTCCACAGTGCGCTCCTGTGGAAGAATGTGTGAGCCCCTCAGATCCTAGCCTTGCCTGGAGTGATTTTGGGCAATTTCTCACCCGGCGAGGCGTCAGAGCGCTCCTATGCTTCTACTCGGTAGCCCTCCCATTAGTATTCTGTTCTGTGCTACCTACTTGTGAAGGAGTCACACAGGAGAGACTAGCGGCTTCTCTCGGTTATGGGCATGTTTGGTTTCCTGTTCAGCAGTAGTTTTCCAAAGCCGATCTCACGCGCCTTTTCCGCGAGGTCACGCTTCGCTCACTACACCTGCACAAACCACACTGAACTACCGAACAGGGGAGAGCATGGTCGCCCCTAAACTGCGCCCGCTTCGAACCCGCCTTTATAGAAACTGATGGGGGCGTGGCCAGGCTACATGACGTGCTGACGTCACGTGCGACGGAGGGCGGGCTGGCGCCGGCGTCGGCGTCCCTCACTGGGTCCCTTAGCTCTGGCACTCAGGCTTCATCCTTCACTGCCCGGCCGGTGCTCGTCTCCCACCGCCCGCTCCCTGCCGCCGGGTCCTCACATCATCCGGGCCGCGCCGCCGACATGGGCCCGCGCCAACCGCGCTGCGGGGCCGGGAGCCGCTAAGGCGCGGTGCGAAGATGGGCGAGGGCAGAGCAGGGCCCGAGCGCCAGCGCCAGCAGCCCGGGCGCCCCGCGCGCACCCGCCCGCGTCGCCGCGGGGATGCCCGCGCCCGCCGCCGCGCCCTGAGCGCCTTTGTCTGCCTCCCGCGCCGCTCGCATCATCCCTAGTTTAGCCGGCGCCGGATCATGGAGCTGAGCCAGCCGACCTCCCTGTCGGACCACGACGAGCCGGCGTCTGGGCCCCACCGCGGGGTCAAGGGGCCGGTGGGGCCCGACGCTCCTCGCGGCTGGTCAGATGAGCCCGAGGAACACGCCCAGCTTCAACGGTGGCCAGAGGGACCCAACGCGCCAATCTGCTGGCCCGAAGAGGTAGAGGAGCCTGACGCTCCTGGCCGCTGGGTCAAAGAGCCCAACGCCCCTCACTGCTGGTCTCAGGAGCCCGACGTATCCTGCCATTTGGCCAAGGAGCTGGAGGAACCTGACGCCCCTCGCTGCTGGTCTCAGGAGCCCGACGTATCCTGTCACTTGGTCAAGGAGCTGGAGGAACCCGACGCCCCTCGCTGCTGGCCTCAGGAGCCAGACGCACAGTGCCACTTGGTCAAGGAGCTGGAGGAACCCGACGCCCCTCGCTGCTGGTCCCAGGAGCCAGATGCACAGTGCCACTTGTCCAAGGAGCTGGAGGAACCCGACGCCCCTCGCTGCTGGCCCCAGGAGCCCGACGTACCGTGTCTCTTGGCCAAGGAGTGGGAGGAATCCGATTCACCGCGTCTCTTGGCAGAGGAACTGGGAGAGCCTGACGTCCTTCACTGCTGGCCCCAGAAGCCCGACGCACCGTGCTTCTTGGCTGTGGAGCTGGAAGAGCCTGACGGCCCTCACTGCTCTTCCCAGGAGGCGAACACAGGGTGTCTCTTGGCCAAGAAGCCGGAGGAGCCTGGCGCCCCTCACCTGTGGCCGGGGGAACCCGATGTACTGTGCCTCTTGGTCAAGGAAACGGAGGAACCCGGTGCACCTCGCTGCTGGCCCGAGGAGCCGGAGAAGCTCAATGAGCCCGAAGAGCCAGATACACCCCGCTCACCGTGTTTCTGGGGCAACGAACCAGAGGAGTCCGACGCATCTTGCTGTTGGTCGGAGGAGCCCCCGGTGCTGTGCCTCTGGCCGGAAGAGCAGAACGCAACGCGCTGCTGGCAGGAGGAGCCCGATGCACCCTGCTTCTGGCCAGAGGATGGAGAGGAACCCAAAGTTCCCTGTCTCCAGTTTAAAGAGCCAGAGAAGCCCAAAGTCCCGGGCAGCTGGCCGGAGGAACTGGAAGACTGCTGCGCTACGCGGGGCCTACCCCTAGAGCATTTGCCCTCCGAGAGCGAGCTGCTTCAGGCATGTCCCGGGCCACCCTCGGACCCAGGCCCGGCGTTGTCGCTGTCCAGCGAGCTCGGGACAGTCCAGGAGGAGGGTGCGCGCCTCAGGACGGTGTTCGACGCCTTGGATAGGGATGGGGATGGCTTCGTTCGCATCGAGGATTTCATACAGTTTGCCACTGTCTACGGGGCGGAGCAGGTAACAAACTGACTACGGTTCTGGTCGGGAGAGATGTTGCTGATTTCTGTTTAGGGTAGTTTTCCGGAATTCCCTCTTCCCTCTTAGAGGAAGGTATACCCACGAGTCAAGTGTCCCCTCCTCTAGCGTTATACTTGTTACTTATTTCCTAGAACCAGGAGCGGGACACCCTCTTCAGTGCCTCGTTCTACCACCCATGTTAGGACATCAGAGGCCAGACTTGTAGATGCCTCTTGATCAGAGTTAGTTAGCTTACTGTATGTGTTTCCCATTTGTTGTACTGGGTTTTGTTTGAGAGATAGTGCAATTAGCGGCCAGAAGTACCTAGGAATTAAAAATGGCTGGAGATGTAGATCAGTGGAAAAAACATTTGCTTCATTCCTGTGCCACATAAAGGATTTCTGCTCTACAGTAAAGTGGTGAGGTCAACAAGCACAAAATAAATCTTAAGCTGGGCATGATGGTGCATTCTTGTAGTCCCAGCATTTGGAAGGCTGAAACAGGATTGCTACAAGTTCAAGATCAGCTTAGTGGTCTGCATAGTGAGTTCAAGACTAACCTGGGCTACAGAGTAACACCCTGTTTCAGAACACACACATGCATGCATGCACACACTAGACTAACCTGGGCTACAGAGTAACACCCTGTTTCAGAACACACACATGCATGCATGCACACACTAGACTAACCTGGGCTACAGAGTAACACCCTGTTTCAGAACACACACATGCATGCATGCACACACTAGACTAACCTGGGCTACAGAGTAACACCCTGTTTCAGAACACACACATGCATGCATGCACACACTAGCCTACACGAGCTCTGCACTATGATCAAGAAAAGGAAGGGAGTGAACCCAGGAGTTTGATGGCAGGTGCCAGATCTAGTGGAGCCATCGGGACCTCCACCCTTACAGGAGAGGTGAGATGTATTGAAAGGTAACAGAGGCACAATTCATGTGCAAGGGTCCCACACATCTACTTCAGCTCCTGGGGAAGCTGGTTCCAAGATCAAGTCCTTGTCCCCTTCAGCACTTATTCTTTGGGCTGAAGATGACAGCAGGGCTGTTTGCTCTGCTAGTAACCCAGAAGACATCAGCTAGGTTATGTGTTCCCCTTTATTTTATTTATTGGTTGGAAATCTCTGAAAAGACATCAATTAGGTTACATGCTCCCCTTTATTGTACTTATTGGTTGGAAGTCTCTGTAATTTTCATCTGTTCATTCTCATATTATTCATTTTTCACACATGCAAACATTTGTTAAGTGGGTGTCCAAGAACATTTGCATGTTTGAACTTAATGGTCTTTAAGAAAAGAGATAAAATTAAGCTGGATGTGGTGGCACACACATCTGTAGTCCTTGCATCCAGCATTCAAGAGGCTGAGGCAGGAGGATGTCAAAATTGAGGTCAACCTGGATACTTAGCAAGACTGTCTCTAAAAACCAAGGAGGATAAAAAGGCAAAATTGATTTATTTCTATTAGTCATAGTGTTAAAACCTCTCTACTCTCTGTATAGCTGTTGGAAAGAACTGGGCCCAGGTTAACTCAGGGCTCCCTACTGAGCTGACACCCGGGGCCAGCCAGCTTCCGGCAGTCTTTTTAACACTGAGCACTTTTGCTGGCCTTTGTCCATGGAGCTTAGTTCTTGTAGTACTTCCCTTCTTGTTCCTGGCCTGGAGAGGTCTTTCCAGTGCTTGGCAGTACTGGTGTTCTCTGTCTTCTCTTTAGACTTATCTTGCCTCCAGATCCAGTCCTGCTGGGTAGGCTATGCCAGCCCAGAGCCGCATTTGCTCCTTAGCATGACCAGACCCTGCTATTATGTTTTCACTGTATCATTGCCATAGTCCTCTGAGGTGGTAATTAGGCAAGCAGCTTTCACCCTTACTTTACAGGTAAGAAGCTAGAAGCTGGGAAAGGCTGTGTAGCTTTCCCAGGCCTCACTAGGACAGGACTGGGGAGTCTTTCTTTTTTTAGCTCTTAACCCACAGATGACTCTAGATGTAAAGGCTCAGGGTATTTCTGCCAAATTTCAGTTTAGTGAATGAATTGCATACAATTCTCTTTGAGAAATGTCTTTGGTCATCACCTCCCCAACTTGATTACTTTGGGGAAAACTTGATTATACTTTTTGCTCCTCTTCTTAACCTTCCTCCTTAAAGGCACTAACCATGTAATTCTGGCTGTCCTGGAACTCACTACATAGATCAGGATGACCTCAAGCTCACAGAGATCCGCCTGTCTCTGCTTCCAGAGTGCTGGGATTAAAGGCGTGAGTCACCACTCCCAGGACTGCACATTCTTGAATACAGACTAGAAATGGGTCAGAATTCTTTTATCTGACAGTTCCTGGAGGAATTTGTAGTTTGGGAAACCCTGATGGTCAAGGGTTTGTTGGGGTAGAGAGTGAGGGGAAATATTCTAGGTCCTTTTGTTTTATTAGCTCAGGAGGAAGAGATGGTAGGTTGACTTTGCCTCCTGGGGTTGTGGAGGGGAGTTCTTGCTTTCTGTGAGTGGTTTTACTATTTGGAGCAGATAACACACAAAGGCATGAAAGTTAATCTTTATGTCAGTGTAAGATGAGGTTGGTAGCCTTCATGACTCAGACTTGCTGAATACATTATAGAGGAGCAAAGACAAGAATATTAACCAATAGTGCAGAAGTTTAGAGAAAAGCGAGCATTCCCACAATATTTTGAAAATTTTAAGATACAAACATCTTGGATATACATAGTAGAGAGAGCTGGGGAGTGTTGCCTCTAGAGATGCCCTCTAGAACTTTCATTCAAGTCCCAGTAGTGAAGGGACTCAACTCATTTGTGAATGTCCCTCAACTTCCTTTTAAAAGATTTACTTTATTACTTACTTATTTATGTGTCTGTGTGAAACATACATGCAGTGCCTGCAAAGCTCGAGTTAGTTAAGGGCGCTGTGAGCCACTTGACATGGGTGCTGGAAATTGAACTCCCTCTGGAAAAGCAGCAAGCCCTTAATCACTGAGCCATTTTCCAGCCCCTCTCTTTATGTGTGAATGATTCTGTATTTATCTAAAAAATAAGGATTTGTTTTTGGTTGGGGGAGAGACAGGGTCTCACTCTGTAGCCTTGCCTGGCCTGGAACTCACAGAGATTTACCTATCTCTGCCTCCCAGGTGCTGGGATTAAAGGTACTTGCTCTCATGCCTAACCTAAGCTATGGTTTTTTTTCTTTATTACATTTATTTAGGGTGTGAATGAACAGGCATGCCAAGCATTTGTGTGAAGGTCAGAGGATAATGTTCAGGAGTTTGGTTATCTCCTATATTTGTTGTCAGGTCACCAGGTTTGGCAGTAAGCATCTTTACCTGCTGAACTGTCTTACTACCCTTTATTTATTTATTTGCTTTTTTTGGTTTTACGAGACAGGGTTTCTCTGTATTGTTTTGGAGGCTGTTGGTCCAGCCCGGCCTCAAACTCCCAGACATCTGCCTGCCTCTGCCTCCCGAGTGCTGGGATTAAAGGCATGCGCCACCAACGCCTGGCTTTTTTTTTTATATTTAATTTCTTTTGAGACAGGGTCTCAGTGATAGAGGAGGGTGACCTTGAGCACCCAATCCATCTGCCTCCATCTCCCAAGTGTTGGGGTTACAGGTATGAGCCACTGAGCTGGGTTCCAGTGTCTTTTATGTAATCTGTTTATGAAGGTAGCATTTTCAATTATTAAGCAGGTTGTCTGAATTTTTAATAGGCGCACTCCCATTTATAATAGAGATGGCCGTCATGTCCTTCTCTGTCATGGTGTGTGTGTGTGTGTGTGTGTGGATCTGATTACTTCACTTGGTGGCAGATCAGGTGTGATGTAATACCATCCAGTGTCATTTACAGGAGTCTGAAGGTGGGAAGGAGGAAGAAAGGGGCGCGGTAGAACTTCTAGCTTTATCTCTCTTTTCTTCTTTTTTTTCATTTTCATTTTTTTCTTTTTATTTTAGGAAGGGTCTTAGGTATCCTAGACTCACCTTCAGCTCATCTTGTAGTGAAAGAAAATCTTCAGCTTCTGATTCTCCTGCCTACATCTCCCGAGTGCTGGGATTGTAGGTGAATGCTGTCACACCTAGTTTTATAGGGTGCTGGGTGTTGAATTCAGGGCTTCTGAATTGTGAGAAGGGATTGCCCCCCCCCTATTTATTTATTTATTTGTTTTGGTTTTTCAAGACAGGGTTTCTCTGTGTCTTTGGAGGCTGTCCTGGATCTAGCTCTTGTAGACCAAGCTGGTCTCGAACCCATAGTGATCTGCCTGCCTCTGCCTCCTGAATGCTGGGATTAAAGGCATGCATCACCCCCCCCACACACACACCCCTCTCCCAGCTTTCTTTTGTTTTTTAAGACAAGGTTTCTCTGTGTAACAGCCCTTGCTGTTCTGGAACTCACTTTGTAGACCAGGCTGGCCTCGAACTCAGAGAGACCCATCTGCCTGTGACTTCCAAATGCTGGGACTAAAGGTATGCACCACTGCCACCACTAACACTCTTAGCATTTACTTTTTAACAGCCGCTGATCCTTTCCAGAAAGGAGATGTGAGTACTTTGATTTTGGAAGACACAGTCTGCCCTCCATAGCACTTGTAGAAGAAGATGGAGAAGTGAACTTATTTCTTTTGCACAGTGTTCCTGCACTTTGGCCAGTGGGATTTGAAAGTCTTCAGGGTGTTTGACACTATGGTTAATTGCTCCCCTGTTCTTTCTGGTCTCTGCCTTGGATTTAAGTGCAGGAATGAAAATGGACTTGTGTGGCTGGACTTGGTGGCCCACAATCTTATCATTTAGGAGGCAGAGGTAGGTGTATCTCTGAGTTTGAGGGCAGCCTGGTCTACATAGCATGTTCTAGGTCAGCTAGGGCTACACAGTGAGATCCAGTCCCAAAAGGAAGGAAAGAAAATGGGCAAGCGTGAACTTGGATATGTGTGGAAGCACTTGTGTGTCTGAGTGGGCTATGTGTATGAGTGCTTAGGGGAATGTGTA